TGTGTGTTAGACTTGAACGCAGAATTCGTACGTCATTTTTCTTCAATCTGCACTGACGTGAATCCCATCGTCTGTGTCTCTGACTATGATATCGGATGAGAGAATAAGTTTGACCTCAGCATCTTCATTATGCGTCACAGTTGTATCCTTTTGTACAACGTTCGTAATGTGATGCTTCTTTCTGTGAGACATCATAGTCGATCTAGACACGAAAGCCTTACCGCATTCGTCGCATTCGTATGGTCGTTCACCGGTGTGTAAACGCTTGTGGATTGCCATTGGACTAAACTGCGTGAACGTTTTGCCGCAGACGTCGCATTTATAAGGACGCTCCCCCGTGTGTGACCGTCGATGGCAACGTAGCGCTGCGCGTCGAGCGAACACCTTCCCGCATATCTCACATTTGAAGCTCTTCTCGCCAGTATGCATGGTCGAGTGGATCCTTAGATCAACCCGCGTGAGGAATCCCTTGCCGCAGACTTCGCAAAGATATGGCTTCTCGCCCGTGTGAATGCGCAAGTGCGTGTTCAGGTAACTCTTGCTGACGAACATCTTATTGCACACCGCGCATGGATATTGGCGATTATCAGTACCGGAGTGTATCTTCTGATGACTCTTGCAGAGACCCTTAGTGATGAAACCGCGGCCGCAGATCTCGCACATGTATGGCTTCACGCCGAGATGACGATTCTCATGATCCAGCAGCGACTGCTTCGTCTTGAAATTCTGACTGCATTTCGTACACGAGTACGGTTTCAGGTCTGAGTGTACTCTTTGATGTACAATGAGATAGCTCTTGCACTGGAATCCTTTGCCGCATGTGGAGCAGTTGTAGTCAAATTGGCCTGTGTGTGTAGCCGTGTGCTGCGCGAGGCCGATCTTGCTGCGAAACGCCTTCTCGCATGTCGTACATTGAAATGGTTTCTCGCCTGTGTGCTTGCGCATATGTTCCTGTAACTTGTAATTCGACTTGTACTGCTTGCCGCATTCCGTACACACTTTCGCGGTCCACTTCCGTCTTACCGTCGACTGTTTCTTCTGCCCTTCTTGATTGCTCTCTTGCAACGACACTACATTTAATTGTACATCCTTTTCCTCCTTATTGACTACTTCGTCAGTTTTATATACATCGCATTGCTCCTTATGTAGATTTAATCCCTCGACACTAGTAAAATATAGGCCGCAGGGACAGCAGCAGAAATGCTGCTCAAAATGTGCGGCTAGATTGGTCGTCTCCAAAGCTGCTTCGTTGCAGAATGGGCACATGTACCAGTTAGAACCAGTCTCATCTATGGTAGGATTGCTAAGCGTAGATTCTAATAATGCGTGTTTCGTTCTCTTCGTGTATTTAACCATTATTTCGCAATGTACGCCGTTTATCTGACTCGTAGATGGTAGGCTCATGGAATCTACATGTTCGTGAGTTCCATTTTCGTTTATACAAGATTCTTCTATTTCACTTTCCGTTTCAGCTTGAGAAGAGACAAAATTATCTACTGGTACCTGAATTATAAATCAAAATAGATATAAACAAAATAAAACCATATTAACCATATTACACAATACATTACAAAATAAAGCCATATTAGCCAATTATATTATAGAAGGTTTTGCCTGAATTGGATCAAAAATTGGATGATATTAAAAATTTTTTTACTTACGTTTTTTTATTAAAATTAATTAATTACTACGTTGTTAATATAAAATATGTTCCGCTGTCGGAAAATTATTTTCAATTAGTAGGCATGATCATATCTTGTCTTTATTTTATCTGAACCAAAAAAAATAAAATAAAAATTTGAACTAAATATTCTTGAAATGTGAAATTTTAAGAAAAAAAAGTCGATTTTTCCAATCCAATTCAAGCAAAATTCTCCTTAAACAATTTTTATTTTTATGATTTATTATTTTATTTGCTATTTTATTTACTATTTTATTTGTTTGTGATTCTAAATAGTAATTAATTTTTTCTTATAAATTTTGTCCATTATTCAACATATTTACATTATTTTTGAGTATGTGCTGTGACTCTTCCGTGGTTAATCTATCTTGCAATCTGTGGTATTCCTGTTTTATTGGATCTGCCTCGTATTTTACATTTTCACAGTAATGTACTATTTGCTCTTGGCTCTGGTCTTCAGGATTAATAGAGGTAACATAATTTATCCCTAATTGACTCAAGTGGCCACCCAGGTTTCCCACTACAGCAATATCACTATCCAAGTGCATTGCAATTTGATGGTTTGAAACCTATAAAATGGTTCACAGATCATAAATTAAAATTCGAATTAAAAAAAATAGAACGATATCTTGAATTATTCTGCAGCATAAACATTAGCATTCTATTTTGCTTTCGGAAAAATATTAAATATATTTCATATTATTTAATTATATAATAAAATAACACAATAATAAAAGTATAAGTTAACAAAATTTTAATATATACATTGTTGGAAGAGACGTCCAACATTAATTCTAATTAATTACTCTTTTATATAGCTAATATTATTAATTTAAATTTAAAGCATCAATCGAAATTATCTAACGCCACGTAACATTATTTTATATTCGATTATTTTTAATCGGATAAACTATACAAATAAATTATTTCACTTGTGTTAGATTTACATAGTCATATCATACATTATATACAAAATAATGATCATAAATGACTTGTTTGATTTACAAAAAGAAAGTAGATAGAAATTGGTTAATTACTTCTCGTATATGTTCATCAACCATTCTCACAGTATCACCATCTAAACAGTCAATGCCTTGTATATCTGTATCTTGTTGACTCATTTCTTCTTGTGTAACCACTTGTTCACCACCAGCCAAGTCCATTTCGTCCATTACCTGCATCGTGTGTATGGTAGATTCTGTAGTTTCATGAGCTACGGCCGAATGGCTTTGTACATTTTCATTATTAATCTGTATGTTAGTCAGGTTTCTCTGAATTGTGCCCATGTTATTCACACTTGCCAAAGCGTGCTCCGATAGATGCACAATCTCATCTTTGCCAATCTCCTTCAACATTTCCATAAACATTCCTTCCGTGTGTAGACATTTCTCACGGAAATCAAACAACTGGTCCAGCTTAAACGCGCAATCTTCACAGATCACTTTGGGTAGTTGATCTGTCAACGACACCTAAAATTTGTAAAATTATAATATAATATATAGTCCTAATAAGCATTATTTATCCAATCTTCTACAGCGTAAACATTAGCATTCTATTTTACTCTCGGAATAAAAATATAAAATAAATTATATGCTATTTAATTATAATAGCATAATAAAAATATAAGTTAGCAGAGTTTAAATAGTAGAGTTTAAATCTTTAGCAGAGTTTAAATCTTATAAAAGTATACGAATTTAAAACTTTTATAAGGTACTCATTAATTCTAATTAACTATTCTTTTGTATAAGGTAACTCTTTTGTATAACTGTATAATTATTTAAGGATAAACATCAATTAAAATTATTTAACGCTTTGCAACATTAATCGAGTATGAAAAAAGCATACATCTCTAATTTGGGAAGAGAACGAATAGTCGGTAAACTAACGTAGAGACTCGTTCGTTTCGATCCAAAGCCAAGGCATTTAAAAAACTAGGATAGGAAATTAATTCACTGCTGTCAGCATGATGCTGCGTTCACTCATTGCGCTGCATCCTTACCTGAACCGGTAGACAGGCCGCTATCTTCTTATCGATGTTGCGCATCTGATCGCCGGCCTCGAATATCGGCAGGCCCATCAGGATGCCAGTCTTGGTCGCGCACAAGCGGCACAAGTAATCGAACTCCTCGACAACGGCCATGTCGACGATACCGAGGTTCTCTCCTTCCAAACGCGAGTCACCGACGGCGGATGACGCGAGACGAGGGGCGGGGGAAGTCCTCTCGTTCCCAGAGAGCGCGGCGACGATTTGCTAATTCCGCGTACGCGCATCCCTCACGGCGACGTGCCGCGAAATGTCACTTTAAAACGCGTCGCACCATGAATCCAAATCAGTCCGCGCTACACCATCGACAGAGCTCGTTCTATCACAGCAATTCAAGGCAGGAGTCCAAACTCCCCTTCCTGGAAAGGTTGGAGTTGTCGGCGTCGCCTTCCGCAGAGGATCAGACTTGGAGCGAACTAAAGTCAGTCACGTGACCGAGTGATGGGAAGTCGCGCCAAATCCGAATCGTAGACACGCCTCACATATGTATTTTTAGGATCGATTGAGATGAGATGAAAATTAAATATAAAAGTGAATAAAAAAATTCTTGAATATTTAACAATTTCAGAATATTTAATTTAGAATATTTAATAATTTCATTAGATATGTGCTGCGTTGCCTTCTCGTACTAACGTTATGTTATATCTCATTTAAGAGAAGTCAGATATTTTCTTATTTTAACAGTATCATATGAATATCCTCTTTTATTAATTAATGTGAACAGGATTTTTATTTTGAATCTCGCGCCACACGCAGTGTGCTCGCTTTTTTGAATCCTCTTCTTTCAACAACGAAAAGTTGGTTTACGAATTTAAATATTTGAATTTTAATATTTTAATATTTTTTTATATTTAATTATTTGAATATTCCACTTTTCGGTTTAGGTTGCTTTTTGTCGAAGTGTTCTTGTATTCTTTCCAGTTTTTTCGTAGTTTTTTATTATTTCTCATGGAAGTTGCAAGCGTGAAGGATGTGAAGTTGTGATTTGTGAACTGTATTATTGTACGCAACTACATGGTGGAAGTGGTGGAACTGTGAGTATTCGGCGTGAACTGTGAGCGATTAGACACGACTCGAAACGATTTAAAACGACATTGAATCGGAAGAATTCGACGAGAATTATTCTGCGTATTCCACAGAATACACTTGCGACGTCGTGCAACATTTACCTGCTGCAAGTGCGACTGGAAATTCGTCGCAGGCACCGGCGAATGGAGAAAGTTAGGTTAAGTTAGGTTAACTCGTGGCGTTCAGTTTGCAGCTGATACGGATACAATGGAGAACGCATCGCCTATCAAAAGCAACAATCCTGCTCCTACAGTAGAGCAAATCAACGCGGACAGGATTACCCAGGTATTTATTCTTGATGACCTTCTCGCTGATGTTTATTGCAAATTGTTGAAGATGAAATCCCCAATTTTGATCAGGCAAATTTTTCATTAATTATTGCTGTTATTTTTATGTTTTAAGATATTATACTCCAATTTTGTGATCAGACAATTTTCTTGCTACTATTTTGTAGATTTGGAATCTCTTTGTGTGATTATATTAGATGCTTTCTGTTCAGTCATTTGTATATCATGTTGGAAAGCACTCTTTATTACTCACTGATTGCCAAAATAAATAGAGAATGCTTTCCATTTAATGGCTCAAATTGTTATAAACATCATTTTATCTTTCTTGACATTCAATGAAAAAGATAGGGATGATATTTATATTGACTTGTGTCAATTTTTATTAAATAGAAAGTATCCAAAAATAGAATTATCATTTTTGTGTTAATTTAGAATTATCATTTTTGTCACTAAAATGGAAATTTATGTGATTTTGTTGTTTTGCAGCTTGCGAATAAATACTGGGCACCACACACTACAAACACGCATCTGGCGTTCAACTCGCAAGTAGTAGATGACATTTACGTGCAGGAAATATGTGCGTCCAAGTTTTCTGTCCGGAGGATAATGATGCTAGAGTTCAGCCAGTACTTGGAGAATTTTCTCTGGTCAAATTACAAGGCGGAGAGTGCCACGCGGGAGCACACTATGTCTATCGTTGTCATGGTGAATGAAAAGTTTAGGGAGCGAGTGCAAGTATGGGAGGCGTTCGAAAAGAATCCGGCAGAGTTTGCCGGATTTTTTCAAAATGTTCTCGAAGCGTGCTTGGAAGAAAGTATAATGGACTTCAATCTGAAGGAACAGACGGCGTTGATAGTATTCTTGAATCATTGCTTCAATTCCATGGAAGTATCTTTGGTTCGAGAAGAAGCCAAAAGGCTGGTGTCACTATCCATGTGGATCTCTTTGCAACAAGGCAGACGAGAACTCGAATTCAGAAAGTATCCAAAATGGAGGAAATATTGGAAAATTATAAGGAAAAAAGATAATCTCGAGCATAAAGAAAAACTCGAATGGGAACGTAAATTCTTGCACAAACTTATGATAAAATTTATGACGATATTAGAAACGATTCCTGCAGAAGGTATTTATAAGAATCTTTCTACATATTATCCAAATTAAATTTTACATATATTTTTTAGAAAAATATTATTTCTTGATTTTTTAATAAAGCCAAAAAGAACTAAAATGAAAAAAGTGATTTCAAATGATTTCTGGCTGAAATCATGATATTTTGTAGTTTATGAGATCCTGATAAAAAATAAGCAAAATCATAACAATAATAATTAGATTTTTCTGTACCACCATTTGAAAATTATTTTGAGTTTAATTAGACTAAAAAGTATTTTTATCTACAGTTTTCTACAGTTTGTTTTTTTAATTGTATAAGCACTTAATTGTATAACCACTCTTTATCTATGATATAATTTGTTTTTTTAATTGTTTAGGCATATATTGTACTTATATATAACCCAAACATAATAATGTCAGACATTAAATAACCATTGGCACAGATATTCATGTATTGGCAAATATGTACATTCTATCCTTCTTTTTTGTACATACTGAGAAAAATCTATTTATAATTAGTAATGGAAGTCAATATATGATTCAATATGTATTTAATTTAACTGCATAGATGCTTATGTAATGACAAAAATTGTAATATAAATAAAGTGCTTTTCAGGATAATTTTACTCAACATTTTAACTTTTAATGGTGCTATAGCAAATATCTGTAGAAGCAATCAATATGCTACAAAACATATCATAATTTCAACCAATTTGACTGAGATCACTTTTTTCATATGTTAATGTGAAGTCTATTTACAATCTTGTTAGCAATAAAATTAAGAATTTAAAATTTATCTTCAATTAACAATTTTAATTACATGGTTTTAATAGGACCTGTACTTCCGGACAAAGTGCGTTACTGCGAGAGATTTTTGGAACTGGTCATCGACCTCGAAGCTTTACTTCCTACCAGACGTTTCTTCAATACTGTCATGGATGACAATCATCTGGTGGTGCGTTGCCAGTTATCTAATCTGCTGCATCGTCCAGAGGGAAGTTTGTTCGGACAAGTAAGTTGTTGCAAAATGTTTGCTAAATATGTTTGTTATCGTAAAATATATAAATATGGCAGGTTAAATAATTTAATTTACGATATTGATTCGATTCATTTAGCGAATTTAATATTTCTCTCGTACAAAAAATCGATTTACTATATAGATATAAATATTAAACACAAATACTATTAAACATATAAGATCATTTGAGACTCGGTGATACATATTTTAATTATACTGTGCAACACGTCCGCTGGCAAATTTGTCCGTAAATTAGCGATATTGCATAATATAATCGATTTTATATTTAGATTAAAATCTACATCAGTACACTTATGGCAATATGATACGCTATGAACATGGAAATGCAAGATACTAGACGTGTTAAAATTGTGAAGTGATAAAAATGTTTCGATAAGCGTACATTTTTATAAGGCAAGAGATTGATTTTAAGGCACGCATAATCACCAAACATGAAATACGAAAGACGTACGCAATTTTATCAGTGCCATCGTTTGGCGGCTCGAGCTCAATAATCAAATCACATTATATATTTTTTGTATGATGACATTATAAATTTTTTAATTTTATAAAATTTTTCAATGCCTCGTCGACTTTCCTGACTTTTTTCATATTCAACTTGCACATTAATTTGATTATTGCATCATTATTTACAATATATTGCTGCATTATCCGATATTGTCTCCGACATATATGTATCTTAATATATTCTTTTCTTGCACGTTTCATATTTACTTCTCTAAAGTAACGCTGGTACGCACATAATACTGTTTTCCTTCTGAAATAGAGATATATCCACGCATTTTTCACACTTTCTAAAGAATATCTTTTGGTTTGAATATATATGCGCATATATCTATGGTCTGTCTGGTAAAATTTGCGCGTAAAAGATATATGTTTATGAGCTATGACTCTGAAATGATGATCGTACAATATAAAAAAGCACAAAGAGTATATTTTCAGTATCTTCGAATATACTTGTACTTTAACGACTGTATGGAATGCTTCTCACACTTCAAACATGTTATATGCATTCCTCTTTATTCTGCGAACGATGTGCATTTTACTAATCGTGATTTAAACGCGCTATCGTCATCACTCGATCACGACTTGAATACAGATCACGCTCGTAACACGAGTAATTATTCGTAAAGCGTTTTAATAACCCGCATTGATAGCTGTCATCTCCTCGCCCCAGTCGAGGCCTTCGGTGTTGTCACCGGAGTCGCAGCAGTTGCACGTTTTCCCGAGTAAGAACGTGACTCTTCGTTGGCCGAATACGCACACGTAGAGAATGAGCAGTGCCTGCAGCAGATTCATGACGATATGACAGTATATCAAAGCGTCGTATTTAAACTGTGAGAGCAGTAGCGAAAACCAGCCGGCGCTCATGATTGCGTAGAGAAAAACAAACATCCGGAAACTGTATTTCATTTTGTGATGAATACGGCCGTACGTGCTCATCCGCTTGATCCTGTTTGCAGTCGTCAGTATTAGGCATAGATCGATCACGATGGTGAATGCGATACACATGAATATCACGGAGAGTCCGAGCCAGCCTACAGTCTCCTGGGCGGGATAAGTCGTGCCGCCTACAATGGGCTTGTTCGTCTCGAGGGCGAAATGCGCGAAGATCGCTGTGGCAGCTAAGCAGGCCGTCAAACTCCAGACCCAGGACGAGTAATAGCAGTACTTCCTGCCGTCGGTTACCCGTAGGAAAACGTTGCGCGACCTGAACGTGTTCCACACGTAGTAGCCCAAGGCACCGAGCCAGAAGAAAGCGGCCATCAAGAAAACGTACATGATCGTGTCTGAAAAAAAAAAGACGGAAATTATTTCAGTATTGTATTTCCTGGCATACATCCGGCCTGGAAATTTGTCCTGTAATTTGCTTTCGCAGCAGAAGGTTGTTCGAGCGGTCGCACTTATTAATTGGTCCTTCCGTCACGCGCTAAAATATGATTCATTCGAGTCTCTTTAGCTCGGCTTCGCGTGTCTCGCAGATGGAACTAATGCACTTGAGATGAAAAGAATGTGACTGCAAATTTCATTGCTTCGACATACAAGAGAAGATAATCCACGGTAATTTTATAAAATGATTTATATCAAGTCATGTCTCAACTGAGTGTGCGATACAGCAACAGTGCATCAATTATTGCATTCCTGCATTCTGAAGCGTAATAACTATTTTTCTGATAAATTTGAATTATCTAGATTTTTCTTTTTATAGTACGCAATTTCGTCAGAGAATTTAATTGAGCGTCATTAAATACGTCAGAGATAATCAGACATTGACACACCGATTTCGTCACAGGAAGACATTACCGAGAATCATTTGCATCTCGAAAAAGATTTCTCGATAAGCCGCGCGTCGCGGAGTTGCATGTGACTCAATCACATGAAGAAAATGATTTGTTATTCTTGAAACTTCGTTAAGCGAAAGCAACGATCACAAACGATTCACGTACCGGCGACCAAGAAGCTAACGTGATTGCCGAACTCTGTGAATATCCTGACGGTGGAGGCGCACTGATTGACCATGAGGCAGAGAGCCATGCTGGTGATGATGTTGCCGACGAGGTCGCGCAGCTGTGGTAGCACGAAGTAGACTACCGCGACGACCAGATAGCAGGCCATTGATACGGCGTGGAAGGCAGGATTGATGGCATGCTTCATCAGATAATTGGTATCGGTCCAGCGTACAGCAACATCCGGCACGCAAAGCATAGCGTACGTCGCTACCATCCGATCTCCACTGAGCACAACTTTGTCGGCACAGTAATGCCCGAACGGATAGTCGTAGTGTATGGTCGCGTGTTCCTTATCGTCATCATAATCGTCATCGACATTCATCATCGCGATGCCGTAGATGCCGCGATTCTCATCCATGCCTTTTGCCAGATCAACGATATAATGGCGCAACACACCTGTCGGCAGAATCAATAGTCGATCTGGCCCGGATGGATAATAGTACACGTGCCACTGATGCTCGTCGGAATCGCATCTGGGTCGTCCAATCTTCAACTCGTACTTGGGGCCAGGAGGAACATATCCCGTTCTTACCGCTGCATCTCGATCCTTTACAAATTCCGGTATCCAGTTAGTCTCATTGGTCTCGGACAATGGTGTACACCGGTCGTCTACCAACAACTCCTCGAGCTCGCAACATTTGCCGATTCTCACTTTCGTGTCGGCGCTGGCGGGTCGCGTCTCGGTGTCGGCGAGCACGTTCCTCGTCTCCCAAGCAACGATGAGCAGCAACACGATTCTTGGATACATGACGCCGAAACGCGCGCGGGTCTTTTCCTTAAATTTGCATTCGCGGACACACACGTATTCTTTCGCTTCTTCGTCGTCAAAAAAAAAGTAGAGTTACTGCCGTGTCCGTGTAATCAATCGATTGTTTCATGAAGCGTTCATCCGTGATTCACTCAGCTCATCGTGACGCGTATCATGCTTGCTTCGCCATACCTGGCCTCACCGCCAGTGCCTCTCGTCTCGCGGTTGGTTACTTACCTAGCTACCCCTGCCAACGTTCGCCGCCATGACATTCCCGTTCTTTGCTGCATCATACCTCCCTGGCCCCTCTGCGTCCCTCGACGGCCACAAGCGAATTTACCTTCATTCCAGCTGCCTCAAAGACACAACGGCGCGCGTCAGCGCTGCGCTCACACGCGTCTTTGTGCGCTCCGTTTTCACTTTCGATAATACATTCTGAACTCTTGAATGTCTTAATCTTTAAAAAAATTCATAATTGTGTAATATTCGTTATATTATTTTGTCCTTTCTGTCTGTAAAATACACACTTTTTCTTGTCATTTGTTTTTTCTTTATCAGATTTATCATGGAGGAATTAATGTACTTTCATTGTAAAGAGTTTTATACATCCAAAAATTTAATATGTCTATTCTATCCTATTCTATCCACTCTATTTCTCTATAGAGAAAAAGTAATTATAAAAGTCACTTATAAATATGTTTTCTCTGAGTGAACTCTCATATTTATTATGAGATACATTTATTGAATGTATAGAAGTGCTAAAAATGAGATACTTTTTTTTAGACATATAAGATATTTGATATTTGATGAACAATTGGATATGTATCTATTTTATGTGTGCTTAAAGTTAAGCACATACAAGTATATTGTCATCAATAAATAAAAAGACAATATTAGTAATTTAAATCTCTCTGTTGAAAATATATCAAAGGATTATCGCTTGCTATATCAATGAATAAATTACATAACACTAAATTATCGGATTTATTAAAAGAACTTTATTTATTAATGTAAGAATTATTTAAGAAAGGAACAAATCTTTTTAATCAAGCTAATATTTGTCTTATTAGGCAATATTAATTACTCGGAAAAATTACTCAAAATTTACATATCTCTTGAAACGATCTTATGAGATTATTCTTATCGAAATTGTTACATTTAGTCTTTGGCATTGTAGGTATAAAAGGGATTTCTTTCTGATACATTCTTAATCTTACCCGTCAGAATTATCACAAGATGAATTAGACAAAATACAAAGCATGACAAGAATATTTCTCGCGAATACTGTCATAAGTATTAACGTATATAAGTTTGTGGTATTTGTATGAATTTGCAAATACGCAATTGCGCTCTTCGCCTTTTCCTGTTTTCTTCTCGTTCCATCTTTGTATTATTGATTTGCTACTTCTTCTTTGAACTTCAATATGAAATGGGATACATAAAATACGTCATATATTCATATATTCTGAGGAAACATTGTATCACAGTCAAATGTTATACATGTGTATACTTATGTATATTTAGAATTACTCAGATTTAAAAAATGTCCAGTTTCCTTGGCGAGATGTTTGTATTATCATGTGAATGAAAATTAAGTATGTTGAAATATAAATGAAGTCCAAATAAAAGAGTATCCATTATCTAAATGCTATTGTCTATTATCAACATTTATTCTTATTTGACACTTAAAGAAAGGATTCTCACGAAATTTCTTG